CCAGGGTAGCCAAGGGTTGGGGGAGTCGGTGTTTAATGAGCCCAGCATTCTAGATGGGAAGATGGAGGTCCTGGAGGTGGTGGCCACAGCGGCTGCACAACAACCTGAATGAGCTGATGCCGCGGAACCGAGCGCCTGGAAACGGTCAAGGTGGCAAACGTTGTGTATGGTGTTTATCACCCCACAATAGAAATTCAAAGACGCAAAAATGACCCCCCAAACAAGACTAAACCAAAAAGTGGCTTTGAAATACCCCTCAAGAGAGCGACCCTTTTGGGGGCCCTTTGGCCTGAGAGTTTCTCTCCAGGGTTCAGCTGTGGGCAGCCAACATGGCGGCTCCATGGAGACTCGCCCAGGGAAGCCTCCGCCCGGTTTCCTGTGAGCAGTGCAGGGATGGGCCTGGTCGGGAATAAAGCCCAGCGAAGACCGTGCAGGGTGGTGACCATGAGGACAGGGCCATGTGGCCTGGGGACCAGGCCCAGTGAGGCCAGGACCAGGCGGGGGAGGGCAAGGGAGGTGAGTGCCACGGCTGCTCAGGGTGCACTGGCCTGAGGGGGAGCAGAGCCTGTGGGAGGCCCGTGGGGACCGACCTGGGGAGCAGGGGGGTGACCTGGAGTGTCTTAGACTTAGGCTGGCCAGCTTCGTCCCCCCCTGCTGGGTTGCTTTCTACCTGGCCTCATTTCTCCTCCCCTGCCTCGGCCCGCAGGGTGCGGTGGGGACGAGATGCCGTCATCGATGACATAACTGCAGGAAAGCACGGCGCAGTGGGCCAGTGCTGGACAAGTGAGCCCTTGCTGCAGGGCACACAGGGGCCATGCAGGCAGAGGGGGCCAGCAGCCAGACCAAAGGGATGCAAGCCGGTGCCCGCGTGGCTCTGCCTTGGCTTCCTGAGACAGGAGGCCGTGCTGCGGGAGCACAGAGTGACCTCCCCGCGCCTGCTGCCCGGCGGCCCTGCCACACACCTAAGTGTGGCTCTAAGAAGAGCCCAGAGCCACTGCCGTGGCCTCTGTGATGGCTGAGCCTGCTAGAACTTGAGTCTCCCCGACAGTGGGCACAAGCCAAGGGCCCTTCTCCCTCTAAAGCTCAGTCTCTTTTCAGAAGAAGAAAAGAGCCTTCAGTGACGGGCACCTCTATCAGCGCGGCCATCACCAACAGCCACTCCTGAGCTGCCCAGAGCTCATCGTTTATTTACAAAGTCGCACCTTCGCTTCCGCTTCCCCTGAGGGATGGCAGCAAGGAAAAGCGTGGCCTAATACAATCCAAGGCAGCACAAGACAGCAGTTAGCAGGTCATTAGTGGACTTTTCCCCTCGGCCTGCCCGTCCCACGGGGCTCGGAGCGGGGCACAGAGGCCGCCGGGCAGAGCCCCTCAGCCAGCCCTCCCGGGTCCTTCCAGGCCCTGCTGTGGGACCTCTCCCAAGGCAGGAATCTGCTCCGGCCTTAAAGAAGTCCCCGCTCCCTGCTGCACAGGGACACGCAGAAAGAAAAGAGCCCAGGAAGGGAGGGCGCCCCTGGGCACCCACCTGGGCGGGGAGGAGGAGGTCCAGGCCTCCTCCGCCCGGCGGGGCTCAAGGGCTGGCAGAAGGGCCGCCTGGAGCCAGCCGAAGGGAGTTTTCTGGGATAACCACTCTGCAAATGGCATAAGTAAGAGAGATGACCTCCTGTTCTGAGGGCCACCCACGGGTCCCTGCGTCATACCTGGGGAATGAAGTATTGTACGGGTGGCAGAGCGGGAGGGTCAAAAGCTTTGGGGCGCTCGGCCTTTGGGTGGAGTTAAAGACGGAGAGGGAAGGTCTTGGGCGGCAGGTTGCAGGGGACCCCAGGACCTTGTTCCAGCCTTGCTTGAGGGGTGATGTGGGGCAGGCCGTGAGCGGGTCTAGTTATGGGGGTACGGAAGGGTGGCCAAGAGCGAGAACACGGTTCAGGGTCTCTCTGGACGGGTAACTCTGCTCATCCCCCTGGGGCAAGCATTGCTCTGAAGGACCGAGCCCCGCCCTGGAAGCCGATCCCAGGTCGGACCTCCAGGCTGACCCCTTGCCATGGGCTCCTCCCTTCCGTCACTCTTCCTGCAAACAGCCACTCTCTCCCGTCTGTGGCAGCCCCACTGGGGCTCTGGGGACAACGGGACCCCTGAGATCCGGCGCTGTGTGGGGGCGTTCTCAGTCCAGTGGGGAGGCAGACGAGAGACTGCAGGGTGCACAGGGTCATCCTTGCCGAAGGCAGAGCTGCTCCTGTGGAATGGCTCCTGGCCCAGCCAGGCTCCCAGGGGGGAGTGGGCAGTCTGCAGCCCCCAGACTTCGCGGGGAGGCAGTTGACAGTGGGAGGCCCTGCCTCCCGCTTGGTTGGGGCTTCACTGAGGGTGTGTCCGCGACTGCCCTTCACCGCTGGCCTGGTGGGCTCCGCGCCTCCCTGGACCAGGCTCGCTGAGGCGCCGTCACTGCACTGATCACCCCACTGAGCAGCTGAGGGCAGAGCCTGCCAACCCCAAGGCATCCACTCCACGTGTGCGAGCCCCGGAGCATACCCAGGTGGTCAGCAGGGAGGGGATGGACCCAGGGCCTCCCTCCCCCCCTCCCCCCAGATGGGGCAGGTGGGACGGGCGGGATGCAGAGAGGAAGCCAAGGAAGCCGCTGGGAAGGTGGGCAGCCAGGGCTCACCTCGGAAGAGCAAACCAAGCCCACCGCAGTTGGTCCATCTGGCTCAGGCCGGAATGGGCAGCCCGGCCAGGGCAGGAGCGGTCTCTGAGGGGGCTGGTCCACACCAGGTCAGCTTCCTCCCCAGGTGGCCAGGTGTTCCAGGGAGGCCCAGGAAAGAGCTTCATCACCCTGGAGATTTGGTACCAGGACAGAGGGTCCAGCCACTCTGGGGGAGCCACTGACCCTGAGACCTCACGACAGGGCCAGAGGCTTGGTTGGGCATTTGGCTGGCAGACCCCCACGTTCCCTCTGGCTGTGCTCCAAACACCAGGGCTCTTAGGAGGCTGAGACGGCTGTGGCCTCCAAGCCTCCCGAGGCCAGCCAGGCACAACCCTGCTCGCACACTCTGCACGCAGCAGATACTCTGCATGGTCCACGAAAACACTCACAGAGCCCCAGGGAGGTCAGGAGTGGCTCGGGGCAGGACGGCAGAGTCTGGGGAGGTGGCAGGGGGCGCTTTGCCAAGTGATATGTGCTGATGTCGCCCAGAGACTGACTTCGAGGGCCAGAAGTTCCCTTGCACTTAGAGGACATCTGTGGACGGGGCCCAGAGCCTGGGAGAAGAGTGGAAAGGCCTCCCCCGTTGCTCGACCCCGTCCCCCATCACTCCTGCCCTCCACTGCCTGCAGCATCTCGGCTCTGTGTTTGCTCAGGGGCTGGATCAAATGGGACTCAGTTGTACTGATTTGGGAGGACAACTCACATCATGAAAGGAAACCAAGAAAAAAATCAACACAGAATAACCCAGATCAACCAAGGGCAGCAGTTGGCTCCGTAGGCCGGCGGCGTAAGCCACTTATCCAACCGCCTCGTTCTGACGTGACTCCCGCGGGCGGTGCCTGCCAGTAGCGCAGGCCCTGCTCACACTGTGAGCTGGTGTGGAAACGCCCAGAAGCTGCCTTGGCCACTCTACTGGGGAGGGAAAAGAGGCAGTGACCGGTCGCCCGGTGCCCAGTTCAAGGTCGGCTGCCCCTGGGCCCACAGCCCTCCCTGCTGCCGGGTGATTTGCAGAGACCCCAGTGGCAGGCCAGCCAGCTCCGTTTCCAACGCTCATTGTTCTAACTCTCACTCCTCGTGGAGCGGGCAGAGAGGGCACTTCTCCCCCACCACCCGTGTGTGACGGACTGCCGTGGGGGGCAGGTGCCTCACCAACTTGAGCCTCAGCTTTTCCATCTGAAAAGTGGGGATGGCAGGGACAGTGCCTGCCCCTAAGGGCGGTCACAAGGGCTGGACAAGGCAACGTCGAGCGCCTGGCATGTAACATGTGCAAAGTAAGTGGCCGCTGCCCCCTGCTCTGAATGGCCGTGTAGATGGAGGTGACCACAGCGATTTTTCAGATCTGAAAAAGAGGCCCAGTCCAGCTGCCTTTCTGTCCACTTGCTTTATCTCCTTTACGTTGGATTTCTAAAACGCAGGCTTGTTCACACACGGGCTGGGGGGTGGAGACGTCGTGGCACCAGGTAGGAGTGACGGAGGCACAAGGGGGAGTCTACCAAGTGCCACAGAAGTACACACTGAACATGGGGACAATAGGATCCTGTGTGTGTGTTACCACAATAGGAAGATGCGCAAGCTCTGTCCCGAGGAAATCATGAGCTACGACTTTAAAAATGAGGAAGATGTAGGGTAAAGAGCAGAGTGCGCCGGGCACACACCCGCTGGCACACACACCCTTTGTTTCGGGGCTCCTGAGTGACGGGGCACAGGCAGGAGGCCCCCAGTCCCTGTGAATTTGCTCTGAGACGCTTGTCATGCTCCACAGCCAGGCTCCCTCCGTGATGGGGTGGACGAGCACGGGGTCCTTCACCGCAGCTCATCCCAAACAAGACCATGCGTGAGAAGCGGCTTAGAGTTCTCCACTTAGAACTAAATCAGCTTGCACGCCAGGGCCAACACTGGGACACAGAGGGATACCCCACCCAGGGCCAAGTGCAGGGGAGCCAGGTGTGGCGGGAGAGACCCTCCTTAACCACCTGCCAAGTGTCTGTGGCTGCTCTCACGACCTACAGGGGCTGCCAGGGGAGGGCAGAGGGGTGCTGGGGGTGGGGCCAAGGAAAGAATGAGAAAGTGGGAGGGGCACCCAGAGGCCCAGATGAGCCTGGGGGTTGGGACGGCAGGTTCCCGGGCCCTGGGTTTATCCTGTTAAGTGAACGGTGGGTGCCAGGCCAGGCTGGGAGACAGGGGCAGCGGAGCCTCACGGGGGCTTCCTGGGGGGAGCTCACTTCCAGGCCGGCCCCCCGAGAGCCCCTGCGGGATGGCTACGAGATGGTGATTCTCTCTCCTTTCTCTCTTTTTCTTTTCTTAGAGAGCCCAGAGTGCCTCGGGGAAAATTGGCTGGATAAAAGGTATAAAGACTTTCTCTTTCTTTCCCTGAATAGTTTTTGACAGATGTGAGCATGTTGGACAACTTGGGAGCTGCTGGTAATGAACGCCAGCCTTGTCTGGGGTTTCCCGTTTGCTGGGAGGGAAGGTTTGTGACATCTCCCTTCTTGCCCCCCAGGGGACGGGTCCTAACAGTGCTGGAGAGGAAAGCTGGGGGCAGAGGAGCCAAAGGGGAGGGATGAAGGGGTGAGGGGTTTGGTCTCAGGTGCCCCACCTGGCCTCAGGAGTGGCATTGACTTCCACCTGGTCCTGTCCCGTGCTCTCTTCCCTGAGGACACCTTGGTGTACTGACCTTACCCAGGTCCTTAGCGCATAGTTACTCATCCCTGGGCAGCAAGGTCTTGGGACCCCAGGGCACTCCAGGGGTCTGGAGAGCCCAGCTCCCCTCCATGGCCTGGTCTCCTCGGGGACGCTCTGTGGACGACAGCTCGGTTCCCAGTGTTGACCCTGACGGGGAGCTGGATGCTGCTCCCAGACGGGCTGCCATCCATCCATCTGGGCATTCTTTGTTGCCCACCTGCGGCTCGTCTCCTGCGTGGGGACTGGAAGGGTTTTCTAGAAGGGATTATGAACAGCATTAGTGCAGGTTCCTCGGCCCCAGGCGGGCTTCTCCTTGAGCCCTTGTCTTAGCTGGTGTCAGCTTGTGCTGCTGTAGCAGAGCACCTGAGCTGGTGACTTAAGGTGAGCACAAACGCGCGGCTCACAGTGCTGAAGGCTGGAGCCCAAGATGGAGGCGCCAGGGCCTACGAGCTGCGTCGGCTGTGGCGGAAAACGAGAGGGCAGACTCGCCCTTTTAAAGATGGCCATCCCACGCAGGAGGCCACAGCCCTCCTGGCTCTGTCACCTCTTAATGCTGTTAGGATGGGAAGTAGACCCCAGCACACGTTTAGAAAGGGACATTGGAACATAGCAGATGGTGTGTGCAAGGGCAGCAAAGTGTTTTCTGGAAGCCACGGACGGACAGCAGACCCACTGGGGCTGGAGGACAAACCTCTTGGTGATCTCTTGTGTGCTGGGATGGGCCCAAGCCTGCCCTTGGCTCAGAAGTGAGCTTTGACCCCTGGCGTGGAGGGTGACAGGGCAGGTAGCCTCTGTCCTGGACGCTGGTCCTCAGGGGCTCCACTGGCTGGCTTCAGGATGGGGGTGGAGAGCTGCAGCCCGGGGAGTCCTCTTCGTGTGCCCTCGGGCTTGCTACCGTGGGCAGTGGTGACTGGCGCGTGTGGGTCAGTGAGAGATTTAGCTCTCTGTGGGGGTGGTGCATGACTGGTGTTGGCCTCACACTCACCTAATGTCCATCCTGCGAAAAGGGCACAGCCTGCCCTAGTGCCGTCTCATGATTGCGCTTCTGTCCTCTGAAGGGCTCTGGGGTGAGTCCAGCAGGAGGAGGATGGACCCTCCATGCCCTGAGGAATGACGTGATGATTGGCTGTTCTGCAGACTCAGGTTTCTGCACAACTGTTTTAAACAGCTTGAATGCAGTGTGTGTGTGTACGGTCAAGGTGCAAGGAGCGTGCCACATGGTGAGTTTGGATGCACGTCTGTGCCAGGACACCGTCACCATGGAAGAGAGCGACGGCCACCCGAGCCCCGGGCACTCCTTCCTCCTGGCTGCCCCAGCCCTTTCCCAGCTGGGCGCCGGCTCCTGGCGGCCGTCAGCGTTGTGTTTTCTGGACCTTGACATGAAGACAGCCTTCCGCGTGGCTCTTTCTCCTGGGTTCTCCTGGTGTGAGACTTGTCTGCCGTGCGCGTGCGCGGTCACCCTCGGCCAGTCCCGGTGCCTTTGTCCGTCTGCTCCGTGATGGACATCTGAGACCACCAGTTGGGGGCTGTTACACATCGAGCTTCCGTGAAGACTTGTGTGCAAGCCTCTGTGACGACGCACGTTGTCTTTTCTCTTGAGGACAACGCCAGGAGTGAAATGGCCGGCTCCACAGCCCACCAGCCAGGCCCAACGACCTCACCAGGCTCCACGTTGCCCGTCTTTACAACTTGGCTGTCCTGCCAGCCGTGTGGTGGGAGACCACGACCTCCTGGCTGATGGTGCCGAGAGTCCATGGGCATTTCCTGACCTCCTCGTGTGTCCTCTGTTCAAACCTTGGCCTATTTTGTGTGTGTGTGTGGTGCTGGGAATTGAACCCAGGGCCTTGTGCATGCGAGGCAAGCACTTTACCAACTGAGCTACATCCCCCCTTGGCCTATTTTTTAAAATCATGTTTTCTGTTTTCTTATTGTTGAGGCTGGGGAATTATTTATATATTCTGGATATGAATCCTTTATCTGATACATGCTTTGCAAATATTTTCTTCTAATTGGTTGGTCTTTTCGTTTCTCATAATGTTGTCTTTTGAAAAGCCAAATTTTTCAATTTGTTCATTTATCAATTTGTTTTTCATGGATCATATTTTGTCTGGGGGATTTTCTCGAGGGATTGAGCTCACGGCTCAGGTGTGTCAGGCACGTGCTCTACCACTGAGCCACATCCCCAGCACCCCACACATTTTGTATTTTGAAACAAGGCCTTGCTAAGCTGCTGTGGCTGGCCAAACTTGTGGTCCCCCTGCCTCAGCCTCCCTGGTATCTGGTACTACATGTGTGTCCTACTGTGATCAGCGGAATCATGTTTTTGATGTTGTATCAGAAATCTCAGTCTCGCCCAAGGTCATGAAGATTGTTTTCTCCAAGGTCTCCTCTAGATGCTCACATTCTAGGTTTTGCATGCAGGTCTATGGCTTGAGTTAATTCGGGAGCCTGGTACGAGGTAACGGGCTGAAGTCTTTTCTGTGTACTGATGTGCAGGGATTTCACTGTTACTTGTGACAGGGACTATCCAATTGTCCTTGCAGCCTTGTAGAAAGTCAGTGGTCATATTCACGGGAGTCTGTTTCTGGAGTCCGTGTTCTACCTGTTAATCTTTCCATCTTATTCAAGTAACACCGCCCTCTCAAAATGACTAGCTATTTTGTCTTGAAATCAGGAAATGACCTTATTCTTTGTTCTTTTACAAAGTCACATAGGCTATTCTAGACTCCTTACAATGGATTTTAGAACTGGTATGTAAATTTAAGAAAAAAAAAATTCTGCAGGGATTTTGACCAGGATTGCATTGAATCTGAGGATTATTTGAGAGATAATTGGCCTCTTAACACTATTGAGTTTTCTGACTCCGTGGATTCAGGACTTCTTTAATCTCTTCCATCATCTGGTGTCAGTTTTCAGTGTATGGGTTTTGCCTACCTCGTGTCAGATGTATCCCTAAGGATTTCCTGTTTTGCGCAGTATTTTTCTGTGTCTGGTTGTGGGCTGCTGGTGCACGGAGATGAGCTAGGCTTCTTGTATACTGATCTTGTATCCTGCAACCTTGCCAACCTCACTCACCAGTTGCAGGAGGCTTCCCGTAGATTCGGTCATGTGTACAAAGTGAGTGACCACGTGGCCTGTGAATAAGACAGCCTATAAGATCTGGTGTCCTTTCTTTCTCTGGCCCCTTCCTCTGGCTGGAGCCCCCAGTGTTGAATCGCAGGAGCAGGAGCATCATCCTGATCGTGAAGCTTCTCACTATTATGAACAGTGAGCCCTGATTTCTAGATCCCCTTCTACTCCTAGTTCCCCGGTGCTAGTTTGCTGAGAGTTTTGCTGCTTTCCGTCAGGCGTGGATGCAGAATGTGGTCAAATGCTCCTCCTGGGCCTGTTGAGGTGATCATTGCCCTTTTTATTTTTAGCGTGTTAAGTTAGTGAATTACATTGGTGGCTTTTCATGTTTTAATCTAGAAGACATTAAGTCGAAGTCTGTCAACTTACCTTTTCCCATTTGTTCTTTTTCCCTCTGTTGATTGTTTTAAGATTGGTGCTTTATAGTACACACAGAGGCAGAATACGCTGGGGTGGGTTCATACATATGTGTGTGGCATAATTTGGTCAATTTCATCCCTCTCCATTCCTTCTTTATTTCCTTTTCTCTTTCTTGCTCTTTTTAAGTTGGGTATTGTTGAGTTCCGTCTTACCCCCGTCTTGACTCATTAGCTATGGCCCTCAGCTCTGCGATTTTGACAGTTGCCTCCCGGTTGACTGTGCGACTCTGAGTGACTGCAGCAAGCCTGCAGGGAGGAGACCCCCTTCCCAGGGCGTATGCCCCTCCCAGCAGTGTTCCTCTGTCTCCCCTCCAGCCGTCACGCTGCCGTGACCATGCGCTGTACCTACAGGTTGTACACTCCATAACAGAATGCTATTGTTTCACTTACATTTAAATCAGAGAGATCTTAGAGATTTAAATGAACAGTCACACATTCAACTACATAGTGTCCATCTCCATCCATCTTCACTCCTTGGTGTCCGTCCATGTCCCCATCTGTGACCATCGTCGCCCTTCTACCTGAAGGACCCTTGCAAATCTACTAGTGATGAATTCCTTCAGCTTTTGCAAGTTTGAAAAAGTCTTCATTTCAGCTTTGTTTTGAAAGCTATTTTAGCTGGGGATAGAATTCGAGGCTGACAGACCCCTTTTCTCTCAGAACTTCAAAGGTGTCCTGCAGGGCCCCGGGGGTCTCACGGGGGCAGGGTGTGCCACTTTCTCATCTTTGTTCCTTGGTAACCAGGGTGTCTTTTTTTCCTCTGTCTGCTTCTCAGATTTTCTCTTTATTGCTGATTTTCAGCAGTTTGATTATGGTTTGCTTAGCTGTCATTTCTCCGAGCTTTGGCCTGTCAACCTTCTTGGATTTGTGTGTTTGTAGTTTTCATCCATATTCCTTCAAAAATTGCTTCTGTCCTCCACCCCTTTCAGAGACCCTCAACTGCCTGTTTGTTAAGCTGACTGAAATTGTTCTTTTCTACTGTTTTCTCTCTGTGTTTTATTGGGGCGGTCCCAGTTGTTGAATCTTCAAGCTCATTCATTTTTCTCTGCAATGTTTAATCTGCCATTGATCCCGTCCAGTGTATTTTTCAAATATTATAGTTTTTGCTTCCTCAA